TAAATCTATAGAAAACTCTCTCTATCTGGAAAGGATAACATGGAGCTTTGGTCATGCTTTACAGATGCATATCAAAAACACTTGTTGCAGAAATTTAGGGGAAAATGTCATGCCTTTTTCCTCCTGTTTTGAAACATCAAGGGTAATATTCCATCTCCCATATATCCCCCTCCCAATAGCCCTCACTGCCATCACTGAAATTTATCTGGAAATTTTGTGCTAAATTCATCACAACTGTGATGAAAAACTATCCTAAAGTCAGTTTCTTTAGATGAATGAGATTTACTTTTTTACCAAGAGTAGAGGAACAAAACCTGAAAGCTTAGTAGTAAGTGTAAAGGGAAGAAAATAAGGAACAGAGCAGGATGCATTCAGACATTGATGAATTTTTGAGGGAGGTGAAAATGCAGATGCCAGCACTGAATTCATAGAGACTTCCTGACCCAAAATAAAAAAAAAAAAAATAAAAAAAAAAAGCAGAATCCAGTGTTGACAGTGTTGAGCCTGGAATGAAAATACACATTTTTTTGTACATAGAGATCTTTGACAATTACACAGGATTAAGATAAAACTTCAATTAGATCAGTTATTCCAGAGTGATGTTCTGATTATGCAGTTTATCAAGTAGATTTGTGATATTTCTAATTTTTAATTTTTCTTAAATGCAACAGCTACAATTACTAATGCCATTGTGCATTTAGGTGCACTGATAGATGCCCATGTAGATATTTTGTACCCTAAAGAGTTTTCTGTGGACAAATGATTATATCAAGGAGATGAAATCATGGCAAAATACAGTGGATTCTGCTTGCCACCCCCTTGGGTCTGTAAGGCTGTTGCCATGTGAGGTCTTTGAGAACCATGCCAGGTTTAAATGGCAGGAAATAGCTGGTGCCAAGAGGACTAGATCAACACTTTGCCACTGTGCATTAAGCTGTGCAATTTCTTGCTCCAGGAAGCCATTAGTGGCAGGATTTTACTCGGGTTTAAAAGCACTTTGGCAAATGCATGGCAGAAAAATTCACTGACAGCTACAAGGCTGCTGTTGCTTCTCAAGAAATTAGAAAGCACTGGAAATGGGCAAACACTCAGAGGAGGATTAGCATTATTTGCTTGCTTTTCTGGCCTCTTTCCTGGTGTTGTTGGCTGCTGGAACCCAGAGCAGATGGTCATCTGACCTGGTCTAGTCTGAGATTTTAGTTCTTGAGGACAAAGACCAATATATTGCCAAGAGAAACATTTAAAGGCTGGGACAGCTGTCAGTTTTGGTACAATCTTAGTATCATAATTAGCAGCCTTTGCTACAAACACTGGAATTTAAAYATATAACTGCATTGCTTTGGTAGCAGACAAACTGTTACACAAGACAAACTGCTCCAAAACACACTCAGAAAAAGATCCATGGATCCATTCTTCCCTTCCACATCTCTTGATTGACAAACATTAGTTCCCAGGCTGGTCACAGGGACTAATTTTAACTAGACTGCAAATAGCAATAGGGAAGAGCCAATTTTACATAATTAGAGCTACAACAGGTATTAAAAGATCATAGCCTMATGCAGATTTTAGAAGCTTGATGATTCAGAAAGCCTGAAAGCTCTGCACTGCTTCCAACTGTAGTTAACAGCTGTTCCCCATGAAGTTCACAAACAACATCTTCCAGCTTSTTGTTCCTAAAAGGGAGCAAACTCAAATGTAGTTTCCTATTCTGCAGCACGCACTTGGGATCACCAGCTAATTTGCATTTTCTTTACTGTTAGTGGTTGGGTTTTTTTAAGGACAGGTCAGTGCTGTAGGGGCAGGGACGTGGCTATAAAATACCCTGCAGGTGGTAAGAGAAGCACCTGTTCCTTGCTTTGTTTAGTCCTCCATGAGCAATGGCACATGCCATCCCTCTGGTGGAGTCACAGTGACCACCAAAGGGGGGCATCCTTCACCCCTCACCTGGGGAGGCACAGCTCAGCACCCATGGGCTGCCCTCAGCAGCAGCCAGAGTAGAGGGGTTTAGGCTGTTTCTTCTCAGACATCGTAGGAGAGTCACACTGACCTGACACACAGTCTTGTTCACACAGGAGCACTGAACCATGAAATGCCTTTCAAACACACACACGTATTTATTCACAGACACCTCAATGTGAAAAAATAAATGCATGTTAACGGTGGATCTTCAACCAGCCTGAAGGCAMAGGGTTCTTTGGTTTAGGATGCTGYTAAGTGTGTAGGAAAAATGRAATCTCAACATTTAGTTACACAACAACCATTTCTGCTAACTCAAGTGTGACAAGTCTCATACATTGATTGGAAATTTTATTTGGAGGTGAGCAACCTTTGCTACCTGCACAAAAGGATGCAAGAAAAGCACTAAAGAAATTGTAACCAGCAGTTCTGAAATTTTCAYGCTGTCAGATTTGCTGCATAGCTTCACAAACCAGCTGTATTTCTACTGTCAGGGTTACATCACCACAACTGTTGCTGGCTGTCAACACTCAGAGCAAATGGGTTGGAATAGAACAAGGCAAATGGAGACTTGGCATTTCAGGATTGCCTTACCTGCTCAGCTGTAGGTTATTCCAGGGCACACTGTCCTCAGGCTTGTCTGTCAGTGTTATTGGACTTCCTATAAAAAACCTCAACCAYCAAGTGAGCAATTTATTTTAATTCAATGCATATAAAATATCTGAACCACTAAATGAATGAACAAGCCTGGGGATGAGGGCACTCTCAGGGCAATAGGGAACATGAATTTGAATTCTCAGCAGAAGAGATGGTTCATGAAAAGCTTAATTTTCCTCTTTTTTTTTTGGGAGGAAGCAATTCAGTTCACTGCAGACTAAATGGCAATGTTTCTGCACTGGTTCAGCTTGAAGCCAAAAATCTCTTTCTTCAGACCAGCTCTGCTGCCAGGTTTCAGACCAAGCTGATCAAAATGCATTTTTCCAGGGTAGCCTTTCCTCTCCTCAGCAAGCTGGAGGTGACAACACACTGCCTTCAGAACGACAGGCTTCAGGCAGGCTACTTCCCAAAACTGTTCTGTCCCACATGCACCGGGCGTGGGTGCACATGGTCTGTGCCAACTGAAGTTATGGATGGGTGGGTGCTCGGTGATCAAGCAGTGCAGCTGATAAAAYCACTCCAGTGGCACCCCAAGACTCTTCCTGCTGCAGCTTTGTAGTGTGCATAAAGGCAAAGCAGCACAAAAGGAGGTGTTTTGCTGACCTGCTTAACCTCATAGCACCCCACTTCAGCTGCAGCCCACACCTCCCACAGCATCTGCAACACCATCAGACAAGCAAAAAAGTGACAGGGAATAAGGCTCTTTACATAGTTTGTGGGAGAGTCAGAAAGACAAGGAGAAAGACTTCCTGCACTCAGAGAACTCAAGTCCGCTTTCCTCACCTTACCTGCAGTGTGTTCTGCAGCTGCCATGCCTGGGCATTGTCTCAGCTCAGTCAACAGAGAAGTCAARTATAGCTTAGGTCAAACTGGAGCACTGGGTACTGGTTCTGTACTACAGATGAAGATGATGGCAATGAATTACCACTTTAGGCAAATAGGATGTAGACCTGAAGGTCTTGGGAGAAAGTTAATCTATGTCTCATTTGGGCAAGATTGAGGCAGCTGAAATGTCACAGAATCASAGACTTGTTAAGGTGGGAAAAGACCTCTAAGATCAAATCCAACCATTGGTAGAAAATGTTAGTCAATATAAGTACAATTTCTAGAAAGTGCATTTTACTGTGAGCATTTAATAAGGCATACTATATCATGCTATAATGCATATGCAGACATCTATCCATTTAACAACACTTGTGATCTGAGGTTCCTTCTATTGYGTGATAACAACCTGAGAGACAATTTCCCTTGAGTTCCTCCATTCCAAATTTTCAATCACTGAGTCACAGCACTGGAAAGCAGAGGAAGACGCTTACCCATCAATTAATTTCCTTTATTTCACAAGCTCTGAATTCAGAAATTGAACCACGACTAGTAGATCTTGATACGGTAGAGTAAGTAAAAATGCATGTGATTACAAAGGAAAAAATTTGTACAAAACTTTAAAAATCCGACAGCAACTTGGATTATCTGTAAGTACCAAAAATCTCATGCAGAAGGAGAGCACTACTGCCCAGGTGGAGAAATCCCTGCAGGGGTGGCAATGGCATTGGTATGTAAAAATTATGGCTCTGTCTAAAACAGAAACAAGAAGGACACAGACTTGGAATGTACCGAGTGGGAACAGACAGGTGCTACGGAGACCATTTGTCATTACGTGTCCYGATGATTTTCTGTGTCTGAGAGAAGTGCTTCTTGGGTTTATAATAAATTAAAGATTAAACAGAAGCTGCCTATACTACTCTACTGCTTACTTTCCAGATGGCCATTTTCTTCCTTCGTTAGTGTTTTTGGTGGTGTTTCTCAAATACAGACATTAATCTTGGCATTGTGTCTAGTCAATTGTTGGCAATGTGTTCTAAAGGGACTCACTCACAGAATGCAACTTGCATAAATAACTCAGTAACATGCATTAACTACTCTAATACAGCGAAGGGGTGCAAAGGAACCATCATTCAGTTACGAGACAAAGCTAAAACCTGTAGTCACTAAAGGGGCAATGGAAGCACCATGCTTTAAGGTGACTATGGCATGAAAGCACAATTGTGAGGCAAGTAGTTCCAAGCAAACACACCACACTATTATCACCTCTTTCTATACAAAAAAAAAAAAAAAAAAAAAAAAAAAAAAAAAAAAGAAAGACATTTCATTTTTTATTTCCATTAGTACCAAATAAAACTGTGGGCTTGATAACACAGATATTGAATGGAATGGACATTATTCCCATGATCCTTCATCCTTGTGTTTCTGTCCATCATTTTTCAGCCAAGACTGGTAATATTAGAGCGCCCACCAGGAGGTGCCACGATGCGGTGGCCAGTGCGGCGTGGGTTGTTGTCATCAATCTGAGCTCCTGCAACAACAGAAAATGAGGAAACAAAGCTATGAAAAGGAATAAACCATCAGCAGTGAGGTCTTGACTACAATTCCCTCACACCACCATMAGCTGGTTTCTCTTGAGCCTGACTGAAATGCTGAACAGACCTTCAAGGCACATTTCTGTGCTTAGCTCCAGCTGCTTGAATGAGAAGTGTGGGATTAAATGTTTAGGATCAGACTGATGCGCGTCCTACATGGAGGATTGTTTTCCACTGACTTGAAGAAGAGCTGATGACAGCCTGCAGATTGGGTTCCCTTTGTGAGATCAGACCTGACAGAATGTATCACTAACTACAAAAGAGCTCCCAAAACACATACGTGCAGAGTGTATTTTTCAAACCTGCCTCACTGATTTAGAATATATGCCCTACTGAGTCCATGGGTCAAGAGTTCAGTTAATCTGGTGTTAGAAATCATAAATCCTTGAGGAAATGAGCACTAAGCTGATGTAAACTCACACCCAGTTCAAAGAGCATTTTAAATSCTGAAAGGTGAAGCTTAAGGGGACAGCAAGCTTTCTGACATGTTAAATATTGCCTGATCACACTCAATTTCCTAAAASCAATTTAAGACTAACATAAATGTGTGGGGTCATTTAAAATGCTACCTTAGTCTCTGGTTCTGCTTAATTTTGTGTTTGCATCGTTCAGATCAAATTTGTACCACTAGGTGGCTTGACAGTACCTAGATCCAGCAGTAGACTGTGAAACCACAGCTTCAGATGCTTATGAAAATCCCAATTATTGGTTATTACTAAGATGTGAAATTTCTAAGGACTTTCTGTGCTTTGTATAGCTTCATATATATTTGTATATGCTCACTGTGGCCCTACATGAATGGGCAAAAATACACTTCACCTCACTAAAAGAGTTTTTAATATGGTCTCCTTGGACTTCACAAGTTTCATTTAGTTTCGGAAGACAGGCTCTGTAAGGGAGGAAAACTGCCATCAGTTCCCACAAAGGAGAAAACCCAATGACTTTCATAACATCATATGCAGGCTTTATTCACCACTGGGGCTGTAGTCTTTTGAAGAAAAAGGATTTGACACGCTTGTAATTGTCTTCACATGAGAAGATTTCAAGCAACCCCAAAGGATAATTTTCCAGTCTGTTTCCTATATACYATGCAAAACATTTTGGGCACCAAGAGCAGAGGATAAGAAATACTCCCATCTGCATATGAACAATTTCTGCACATGGTTTATGACCATGGACAAGGACAGTTGAGGTTTCCACATCTAGCAGTTGCTGRTGATGCAGACAGTGAGATTTTTGAGACTCACAGCTTGCATCAGAACCCAAGTCCCATCAGCTGTACACACCACCAAGGGGCTTCAKTAACATCAACCAGAGACCTCAGCTACTGCAATGGGCCAGGTAAATAATACTGAAAGACTGATGCAGAGAAAAATTTCAGATTGCAAACATTTTGAATATATTTGTAATATATTCCTAGGGAAAAAAATGCATGAAAACATATATATATATATATATATATATATATATATATATATTAGTATATGCATGTAATATACATGCATAAATATAAGTAAATACAATCCTTTTATATTTGACTAATGAAGTAATTGTAATTGAAATTCATCACCAGTAATCCATAGTCATGGCTTGAAAAGGTTTCCAATTAGCCAGGCTGATTTACCTGATAAGCTGAAATTAGATTGATGGAGGTTCCTGATTGGTGGGGGCTGGTTTTTGGCAGGGGAGGATTTAGTTGAGGGTGCAGGAGTTGCATATTTTGGTGTAGCTGGGATTTCATACACAGGCCCATCATACATTCCTCTGGAGACTCCTTGCAATCCTCCCACCTAAAACAAGAGCAGAGTAAAAATGCAATGAATGCTCAGATAATGCTGCCTAATGATACTTTTGCCTGTAGGTAGAGAGCAGAGCTCTCTATAGCRCAGAGCTATAGTCTGCACTGGCTGAATTAAACACACATCTATATATATAAACCAAAGCACAGTTTGCTTTATATATAAAGGAAATTATAAAGCTTCCTCMTTCCATTATTACATTTATAAAAATTATGAGAGAAATCCTTATCAGGCTTCCTTTGCAATCAAAGGCGAGAGGTGGGATTCAAAAGAACAGGTCTGGCCTAAGAGGTTTATTTTACATAAAAGCAGTCAGAATCACCTTTTGTCTCTCCATTCGGCTGCAGAGTCACGCTTGGGTTGTAGCACAACTGATCCCCACTATACCAGTTGCAGCAATTTCTCTCCTACCTGTATTTCTTCTGCTCCTCCCGTTTGTAGGTCTCATTTTCTTTAATAAAACTCATTGAAAAGGAGTGGCAATTTTAAAATTACATTTGCAAAGTTTCTGCTTCTTGGCATAAACTAGAAAAGTGATTATACACTGGACTGTGGCAGGGGCTATCTTACAATATTTGTCAATAAAGTATCTGTCATTTGAGCTCTGATTTGAGTTAAAGTCTCTAGGTTTTTTCCCTGCACAGCTCTTACAAGGACTATTAGAAAAGACAGTCAAAACAATTTTACTGGCCTTAAAATCATAGGAATCTAGGAAATACTATTTTAATAAAAACAGTTCCAGTTTTCAGAAAGAGCCTGAAGCCATTGAATTGCAAAATGCAAAGCTCATAAAAAAGATCAGAAACCTGTGTCTTACAAGATTATGGTTTCAGAGAAATTTCCCTAACAGGTTAAAAGTGAAATTAAAATATCGTAGAGAAAGACACTACTCACAGGGGTTTGATCCTGTCCTCAAAGCAATCAATGCATATCCCCTTGCTTTTGATGCCAGGGACATCAGGCTCAGAAGAGCCACCGTCTTGCAGGCTGAGCCAAAACTAATGCCCAGRAGAGAGCAGCTGCTAATCACAGAAAAGAATCCATCTTCTAGGGACCCACAAAGGCACGAATTTATACTGCTATCCCTGCTCCAGGGATAGGTTTATACTGCCAACCCGTGCCAGTTCAACTTTGCAGTCCCTTGCTTGATAAGCTTTTTCTATATTCCTCTGTTGTGCACTGACATGTTCATACAGCAGCTGATACAACCATCAATGGGCTTTCCTAAATATTTCCAGTGCATAACATTTGATGGGGGAAAATGTAGGCATGGATCTGTTGTCCCTCTCGGCAGGCAGCAGAGGGAGCTGCAGGAGCAAAAATACAAGCTCCTTTGTCTGTAGATCTTGCCCAAGTATCAAAGGTCTCCCAAAATCCACTGGCAAGACACAGGTTACTTAGCCCAGGTAATTTTGTTCAAACTCCTGCTACRAGACACTACTCTGTGACACTTGTTTCTAAAGTGCTGGTTCCACTATCTTGATGACATTTATTTATATGGCACTCCCAGTCAGTAAAGCTTTAAGCAGCAAGTGTGAAGACAAGGCCTGTATCATCTACATGGATAATGAAAAAGAAAAAAAAAAGTGACACTGATTGGTATTTTGCAAAAGTCTTGCAGGTGCATTTGATTTTTACTGTGCCTTTTCTGTTAAGAAGTGCAGGCCTTTCTTTTGCAGCTTGACAGAATTTGTATAAGAATGTAAGGTGAAAACTACCAACCTGCTCATGGACTTCATTTTAGCTGCCAATCTCACTCAGTCTATGATATATGCTTGGTTGAAGAAAATATGAGGTTTAGTCAACTCTTTTTGTGAACTATACTCACACAGTGACTTTTTTGCTCAGTGACAAGAAGCCATTTCCAAATAACTGGAAACTAGTGCCCAGCCAATTAGTTTTCAACAAGATTATCCCCAAAAAAATTCAAAACCAGAGGTGACCCAGTCTTAATCTTAGTAATTTCCCAAGATTTTTATTAAACAAAAGAGGAAAGTTTTCTGAGCTATGAATGCTGCTAATACATAGCTCAGCAAATGCACTAACAACAGTTCAGAAATGCTTAATATAATGAGAATCTGTGGCTGACATGCTTTTCTTCCCTGCAGTGTAGCAATTCAGTATGCAATTTAAAATTCTGTTTTTATTCTGCCTAACCCTCCTTCACAAGAAGCTTTCTCTTTTCCTGAATTTTAACTGGAAGTAAATTCTATCACTATTCCACCTCTTTTCAAAAGCCTGCATTGCTGGACATAATGCAATTATGCCCAACTRGCAATTATATGCTCTACTTGCTGAAGGTGATGGTGTTAATACTAAGCTAGATGGGTCTACAGGTGCAATGAGTTCTATGGTAATTTTACCAACAATTCATATGCAGTCCATCTGATACGGGCTCATAACAGCACAACATTAAAAACCTGTCCTACTTTGCTTCCCAGAAGGTTTGGCTACAAAGAAGATTATGMAGGATCTGACATTACCTTATTCCTGATTTTGACACGCTGGTAAAGATATTCAGGGAAAGGTTTGCGAGGGATGAAGCGACCCATTCCCTTATTTACATGCAGATTTCCATCTTCATACACAATCTTCCCTTGGCTTATGACCACGAGGGGGGCACCATGGCACTCCATTCCTTCAAAGATGTTGTACTCAATGGCCTGAGGATCAACCAAAATATTCACTGCAAGACCTCTTTCAATTAGTAACTTGTAATATCTACATTCATAGTCATAGTTTTAGACAACTGCCATTCCAAAGTGTATAAAATTKTTTTGTATGAAGGAAGAGCAAAGCATTTTGATATGAAATTATCTTAAAGGAGCTTTCTGATCAGACTTCCCTGGGTGAGAGTTTTCCTTTCAATTTTTCATTGTCCATCAAGTATTTCACTTGTTTTTGAAGATTTGTTCTATTTATCCAGAGCCTTTAAAARTATGATAGCCTTAATATGAAGAAAAATTGTCCCTCAGCTGCTGAACACCCAGAGGATGTGGTCCCACCATGCATCTGCTGTGACTGTGTAAGCAAATTTCAAAGAGGCCAGTRCATATATTGCTGTCTGAAAAAGCCCAGGAAAGCCTGAATCGAAATGGAAATGACAGGGCAAGTGATTATTACTTTCTTGAAAAAACAGAGAGAGCATAAGACAAAGAAATAGAAACTGAGCCACCTAAATTTATTTTTTAAACATTTCTAAATGKTTTTGCCTTTTTAATATAAAAACGCAGTAATGGATTTTCAGTAAAACTTTAGGAAGAATTCCCCAATACAAAGGACCAAAGCACTGAGCAGGAAGACAAAAACTTTGGGATAGACAACACATAAAATAAAACCTGTCAGAGTCAAAATGAAAGCAACTGTCAAGTCACTTGTACTCTGCACTGAAGGCAGAGAATTATGTGGCAAAGCTCTGGAATTAAACAGCAAATCCCATCTATGAAGCTATTAGAGCTGTATTATCAAAACATTTCATCATCTGTCATAGTTTCAATATTGTTAATTTAATCATGCAATTTATAATATCAGGTGCTTTTTAGGGGAACCAAAAAAAATTAGCTTGATTTAAATTTATCCTCAGCCTTATTAACTTCAGCTGCAGGGCTGTTGATTCACACCTGTTTACAGATCTGCCACAACCATACAAAAAAATAAATAGTGCAAGAGTATATGCAGAGAGAAAATAAATCCTTTCTGATCCCAGTGCTTCCAACATGRGATTTCGATACTCTCATGTCCTGAAACATTTACTCATTTCAGAACAGTAGCAGGCAGTTATCTCCCTCCTCTGCATCCCCTGCTATTGGTGTTCACATGATTTAGGTCAACAGCTGAAAAGCAACAGTGACATTTCTTTTCTCTTGTTGGTTTCCATTTCTTCCTTACCGATTTATGGCTTTTGGCTGTTATAGTCTTCACCTTATCAGGGTCCCAAATAACAACATCAGCATCCGATCCTACAGCAATCCGGCCTTTTCTTGGATACAGATTAAAGATTTTGGCAGCATTGGTGCTGGTGACAGCYACGAACTGGCTCTCGTCCATCTTGCCTGTGGCCTAAAAACAACGGGATTTGAGCAAAAGGCTTCTGAAATGGGGATTTACTATTCAGAGTACTGAAGGGTCAAGGAGAAGGCACGGACTTTACAGATATGGTGATGYTGCATGAGACACAGATTGTACCACACAGGACTTTATATATGGCTCATTACTTGGAAGTTTCACAGAAATGAGTGTGTTACTCCAGGCATTGCAAAGGACAGCCAATAAAACCTTAGTGCACAATACCACCAAGGTGCTCAGKTATCTGGGGTCCCTTTCTCTGATGCCTAAATATGTTCTGTTGCCAGTCCAGTAATTTAAATATTTAAACAATTTCAAAACAGAGAAGCTTGTATGAGTGTTATGAGATGAAACAAAGGACCAAGATTCCAATACTTTGGGGAATATTTCTTGCAAATTAAGTCCATTCTATTATTAGTACTGTCACACCTACACATCTAAGTAATACAACCAATTATAAAGTCCTTGCCTGGAGAAATGTCATCACCAATGGAACTTGGTATACAGGCAGTGATGGTAACTGTAACTGTACAGAAGAGCATTTTCATTTCTCAGTAGGGTATTTTGGGGTCTTCCCTGSCAATGAGCAAGAACAATGTTCTAARGAAGAACAACARTGCCAAACTTTTTAATATKAAATAAACACTTATTTCCAGCCTGGTAAAATATAAGATTTGCAAAGTATAAGCTAATCAGTGGTGCAGGACTGAATGTTACCTGTAAATCTCATGTCCTTGCTGCAGTTCCTTACCATTGAGGGAGCAACAAAAGAAAAATAATASCAGCTGGCTGTGCTTTGCTTGCTTCCCTGCTTTGCTTCTACATGGCAGGTATYTGAAGCTGCTTCTGTGCTTGGAATTTCAATAGCTGTCCCTGAATGAAGTGGTTATAAAACACAGCCTGGGAAAAGTGCTCATCAGACCACTGTAAATACTACCACTTCCCAGTCTGCAATGTGCATTCRAGCACAATGCAATGAGTGTGTGTGAGTGTGCAGGGTGTGCACGTGGAGACAGACAATGGAGGGAGAATATCATAATACATTAGAATCCATGGAACCATCAAAAAATTCCTGACTTATACCGGCACTCCGCTGCAAATTATGCCAGTATGAATTACGTGCAATGCTCTCCTTCAAAGCATTTCATCATTTAGCCTCAGGCTCGGCTGCCATCCATTTGTAGTTTCTCGAAAACGATGAGACACTTCCCAAATTCAAACAATCCATTCATCACATTTATATGAGGTCCACTTCAAAACCATTAAATTGCTCCAGATACCACATCTCTCAGAAGCATCCGCTCCGACACAAGCGGAAAATAGAGCAGTGGAGTCTGGGAAGCCTCAGGTCTAATAAAACACAATGCTGTTGCAGTGTCAGAAGTGAAACATAGCCCTGAGTTAAAAAAAAAAAACTGGAAGAGGTTTCTGAAATAAGCAATTCACCTCACAGTAGCATTCTCTCAGGGAATTCTCAGAATTTCTCAAAAATCACTTAAGCAATGGCCAAGAGTCTCTTGCCTTTCATTATTCAGCCAACACTCTATGGGTTTTTTTAGTCCATAAAAGTAAGTAGTTACTTACTACAGCCTTGTCCCAGACAACAGTCATCCTTTCCTCAATTCCATTGACCCCTTCAGGAATCATAGTGAAGTTGTCCTTTCCAATGGCTTTCTGGGCAGTGCTATAGGCGCAATGTCCACTTCCCGTCACCTGCAGGTCCCCACTGTGGAGTTAATACACAGAAGCTTTAGACCAGGCATCACCAAGGTGACCTTGGTCTCAACAGGCTGTGAATGGACCTTTCAAGCATACACACCAGAGGCACAGGCTGTAAATCATGCCAGCAGCCTTTCCACATTGGCTGCACATCACTGAGAGCAACAATGGCACTGGACATCTCCACTTTCCCCCAGGAGCACCCTGAACTCCTGGATTATGGCCCCCTCCGGTTCCAGGCTGCTTATCGAMAGAGATCAGGCAAAAGCCCACTAACCAGGACAAAGGATTACTCCTGGATTAAGGGAATGATCAGAAGCTTGTATGAAATGTCTGCCACTCTCAAGATAAATTAATTCACAACCACATTAAAAACTAATGGCAAATTTCACAATGCAAAGTCATGAGCTTCAAATGTGTTCCCCTGCATTTCTCTCTTGCACATGTGTTTTTCTTGCAAAGCTTACATGAATACTTCTTAGCTGACCTTGCAAAAAAGAACCAAGAAAGTGAAAAAAGAAAGGTTTTCATCGGGTAGTTTTCTAATGAAAAAACAAAAGGCATAATGCAAGTCAAACTTTGGATTAATCAAACTTAAGGGTCTTATACAGAAAAAGGCATGGAGAAAAACGCAAAAAGAGCTACCACTTAACAATGCTTTTATTTGAGAAGTTGGGTTTTTCAGCCTAGAGAWTTTTTTTTYTTTTTTKMAGAGASCRGAACTGGATTACAGCTGCTCCTGGGAATGAGGAAGGACATAATCAATATGCAGAATCTTGCAAAAATAGAAAGACAAAAAAGAAGGTTCTCCAATATTCACAGGAAATGTGATATTCTCAGCACTTGACTAAGCTTACAAGAGCAAGCACTTCAGAATTCACTATGACTTCTCTTCCGTCACTCCATAAGGGTGATATCCCCAAGATCCTGTCATCCTTTTCTTTAAATGATTATGTAAATTCCAGATCTGAAACACCTGAATGATTCYGGTCCAGAAATCTAGATCCAGCAAGTTAACAAATAGCCAAGTACATAAGAAAAAAGTGTCACATATGAGTAATTCTAATGCCATTTTCTGGGCTGCCAGMCCTAAYGACTGCTGACAGAAAAGAGCCCTTSGCMTCTTTTCTGGTTCTTCACCRTGCTTACAAGCCATCCATCCAGYTTTTAGCAGAAGCTAAACCCATGAATTTACTACAGAAAAGGCAGCTTTGCTTTAGCTACTCCAGATTATTAATGACTGCTTGATGTTACTCCATARGATTAAGCCAATTTAATCAGTTAAACATTCATTTATTCTAACACAACAATTAAATCAGAAGGTTTCAAGGCCATTTCTTCCTTTTGGATGCTCTTCTAATCAGCAAGGCTTCCTGTGGCCTCTTTCCTTCTGCACTCCAGTTGATACAAGCATGAAAACCTGACACACAGCCTGGCCCTGTATCACTGCCCACTTCCCAGAGGTTATGCTGTGTTTCTTATGCCACATTGCTAAYACCTACACCTGAAAGATAAAAAGGATTTGCCTCCTTAACTCCATATTTCCTCTCCTCTGACATTTAATGACATTAATAACATGAACTGCAMTCCCCAGTCAAATCAATACAAGACTTCTGAAGCTGAAGTGTGTCACTTGAGAGCAGTCCATCCATCACCTCTTGGTTAACCACATGGGCACACTCTACAGTCAAATGCAGGATAAGTGTAACATCAACTAAAAAACTGGGGAACAAGAAGGGATCATCATGAAATAAATGCCATATCAATACCTTGTCATCTTAATCTTTCCCTTAACAAGGCTTTCTTGGCAAGTTGCATCTTCTGTGAAGCACCAAGATCTCAAATCAGATTCACAAGAAGTGACACATCACAGCTGCAGTAATGCAGCAGCACACCATGGAAGATTAAAGCTAACTCAGGTGCATGACCCAYACAWGACACAAGGACCACATTTCATGAGRMAAATTCAATCTRGAAAATCCGTMAGACATGATGGGGTTTTACAGATTTAGCTTTTCAGCGGAAAATCAACGCTTTCTGTGGAAAAGAGTGTAAGTAGTATGCTGTGTGCTTGCAGAGGAAGGATGTTGTAAGGATTTTTTAATGAACGTAAAACATTTGTATCCAAATCAACAGTGAAACATGAARTGCTGTCTTTACCATCATCCTTGCATAAAATTCCCCACAAATGCAGGGCAGACTGATAAAATATACAGTTCTTTTTTTAGTTTCACAGTATAGATTTAAAGTATTAAAACTGAAAGCAGGCTAAGCTGCTGTCATTTAAGATCTAGGACTTTAAGCCACTAGAAAAAAAAAAGCCATTTTTGCATGCTTGGAGAATAATGAAAACTTCTGTAACTCCTCAGTTTGTCTTTCCAATGTTAGTTTTAAAAAGTCATTACTTGGATTCCAATTCTAAAAATGTTCTTGCTATTTTAGCTAATCTGCTTTGACCCTCACACTATTATTTTGGGACTCTCTTCTAGGAAGCATATATAGCCACTCTAAAAGAGTAAAGAGTCAAACATTTTGACATACATTTACACCTGCTAGCTAAGAGCCTTACCCTCATACAGGATTCACCCTTTACAGTGCTGACAGTGGTGAATCAGACCAACACAGTAATTATATTTCTGTGTCCTTATTTGGAAGAAAAATCTCATTATGAAAAAGCAATTTTTGTCACCAGACTGTCACAAGAGAACAAACTGCTGCATATTCTTACCAGAGCCACATGTAACTTAGCTCAACTGCAGCATTTTTAGAGCAGCGGAGTTAAAGCCTGAGTGGGCTCTGGAGGGCTGCACAGCCTGACCCATCGTGCAAGGGGAGATTGTGCAGCACTGACTGATGGCAGCTTCCTGTCACATGTGTGTCCCCACCCACCTCCCAGGCAGCTGCTCTAAAGATGGTCATTTTCCAGGTTCAAATTCCACTGCTCTAAAGCACTGGAAACTCCAGAAAGGGGAGGGAGGATGTGAGGTGGGTGCCACCACATGAAGCTAAATGAGTATTTGAATGGTAAGCTGAGTTCCTCATTCCAGCCCTAGCAATCTGTCCTGGTGGGGCTTCAGCTGTGAATTTCTAGATCATTTCAGAGCAGATGGTCTTTTGCTTAAGCTAAAGAAGACCCACAGTTGGCTACAGGCAGGAAATACTTTCAGACATGGGTTTACAGTCTGGGTTTCTGGCAAGACATTGCTGATAACTTCTTTTCTATTTGAGAAAGACACTTCTTCCTCTGCTGTCCACATTCCTTTCAGCTCTCTAGTGATTAAACTCTCCCTGCCAACCTGAAGGCAGTCAGCTCACATCCCTGCCCTATCAAGTGATGGCCTTCAGTCTCCAGTGTCTTCACCTGAGTCCCTGACAGTCTCCTCTGTGATCCACTCTGGCCATAGCTGTCTCTTGCCATAGCTGTCCTGCATGTAACTACTTATCTTTGCTTTTCCAGCTGGAGGATGCTGGAGCCAATAAAGACACAAGACAAGCTAAAAGTAACAGGGCTGCAAGGTAAGCTTGTATGATTTTGGTCCCTCCCAGATGAAYGCAAACTACAAAGTCAGAAGCTTTCAATATGCAGGAGATAAGCTCACGGACCTCTGCTACAAACACAAGTTAGTTTAGGACAACCCCATTTTCAGAAGAACTCACAGCTTAAAGCCCTGCACCAGCTTGGACAAAAACTGCCCCAATAAATTTTTCTTGGTTCTGGGTRTCTCTGCATTTAGGAACAGCCCTCATTTCAGGAGCTGTGCATGTCAGATATGACTGGGGCTTAAAATTGAGTCTGTTCTCAAAGATGGGGGCTGTTGTTTACGCTGAACAGTGACTAGATGCCATTCCATCATATATCAAGAATTCTGCTAAAGAAAACTAAGAACTAGTGAGAAGGCCAGTTTGAAGTCCTGACAATCTATTTGTACAACTAGGAATCACTTTAAAAGCAGAAAGAGAAAGAATTAATTCCTGAATAGCAGACAGCTTCCTCTCCATCAAGCCAACCAGGAAGTGGAGTGTCCATGACTGCTCACTTGACTGACAGCCTAAGCATAAGGATGTAACTATCCTGGGTTTTCTATGTCCCTTCTCTGCTGTTTCATGTTCAAGACTGGTCTAACAGAAACCAGGCTGATCCCCAGATGTTCATCCCATGTAGCTCTTGCACTTGCCTTACCATCAACCCTGTTAAATAAAAAACAAATGAAGTCTTACCATGCTAAGAGTGAATTTAAGTGGTCTGGAGTGGTAGGATCAGGGCTCAGWGATGGTGAGGTCACAAAAGCTGCAGCCTTGGCCCAGTTTTTGCTCCAGTAATGTGTCCCATCTGTCCCCAAGCTGGCAGTGATCGGCTCTCCAAAAACAAGGGGACCTTGGAGAAAGCAAGGATATACAGGAACTAATTACAACCCACTCTTGAGCACATGACACTGCTTCCTGCATGCAGCCATGTATAATTCACACATTGCTACATGGCTAGTACAGCTCCAAGAAAATTAAACAGCCCTGGTTTTGTCTGTATGATAAAAAATTAATCAGGAGTCGCTCTGAGCTCTACATGCTTTTGATCAGCATATTTACAAATCTTTCATTCTAATCCAGAAGGAGACAGCTCAGACCTGCTTTTAATTTGTACTGTTTTAATCACAGCCATGTTCTCTCTGCTGCTCCAATTCTGAGTGCACTGGGTGGTGGATCACTTGGGCAGACAGATGCCTTTTTACTACTCCCAGGTTGGGCACAGCACCAGCAGATAGCAGCATATGGTYCCCAGCACCATACTCCCAAGTCTCCAAGAAAACAAATATCAAGACAATAATTTGCTCTTTGGCTTTTCCATATTGCTCACGAGCTTTGTAGTGCCAACCACCAGAACAGTCCTGACTTGCAAATGCAGCTTTGGAAGCAGCAGCCTTCAGGCCTGCAAAGCCTTTTTGGGTGCTTCGTAACTGGATCCTACCACAACCCCTGCAAGGCTGATGACCTGCAGAGCACATCTGAGGGCTCAGCTTCCAGCAGCAAGGCCAGAAGCAAGCTCCAAGAAGCTCTAACAGCAGAATCGCTGTCAAAGCCACATCTCAGAGGGTGACAACCTGAAATACTGGCATGGAAGATGTCCTAACCCCATTAGGAATAAAGTATCGCCCTCCCATGAACAGAGATATAGCAATCTAAGGGAAAAGTAAAAGGGAAAACAGGATAGGGAAGAGATACATTCAGTCCTCAAGAGGGCAGTTTGTGGGGAGAGTTTCTCAACTAAAAAATATAAAAGGATTCCCTCTCATCATTCCCAGCCATAAATTTTTAATCTGTGATGATGCTACTGTTCTTTGGTAACCTCTCCCTATAGCCTGGCATTTGCGACAAGATGTAAAGGTTTTTTCACTAAGCTTCTATTCAACAACAACAAAAAACAAACCAAATTTGGGGGAGCAAAGGAAGTCACTTACCTTTCTTCCTGGCCAGTGCAATGATATCAGCTGCACTCTTGCTCATCACTTTGGTGATGTACACTGGGCAGTTTATTCGACTGGCAATTGTGATGGCACGGAAAACTGCTTCTGCTTCAAGCTGAGCAAAACAAGGAAGGAAAAGTTAACTGCAAAAGCAGTCTGAACAAAAAATGAACTGGAGGACTCTTTCATATTTGTCACTGTTCAGCAACAGCTCTTCAAAGGTTGATTCTTCTTTTTCCATAGAGAGAGTTACAGTGCTGGGAAACAGGGAGCTAACCCACCCTCAAACACTTGGCACTAGCAGTAACCACAGCCAGGCTGTGCTCACTGGCAAGGTGCAGCTTTCCCAGCACAAACACAGCTCCCTGGCTCCCTGCACCCCAGGAAAGGTCATATCTAAGCAGCTGATGCAGCTCCTCCTTACCTCCCTCCCACCTTCCTGCTTCAGACTCCTACCMTACAGATGGAAGAACAAAGCATGAAAATGTTACCCCTGCTCAGAGACAACCTCGAAGCTCCCCCTGGTAGCTTTCCCTAATCTTTACATAATGGTGACAGTGAATATAAAGAATTCTCACAAAGCAACTTCAGCACTATGGACTGAATTTAGCCCATAATCYATAGAAGCCTTTGAAGCAGTGCCCAGTAAGTTCCCTCTGTCAGCAAGCGTAAAGGCAATCTCCTCCCAGGGAGCCATCTGGGAYGTAGGCACACAAAGCCAGCATCTTCAGATGGAGGAGCAGTGTTTCCCAGCAGCTCTGGAGTCTCCTTTCCCCAGCCAATCAGTTTCATACCAGATCCATCCCAGATGGACTCACAGTATTGGCATTTTAATACCAAAAACTCTGTTGTAACTGAAAATAGTGACTCAGTGGCACAGAAATTTTTGTGCAAGARTTTTGCTAGAAAAGTTTAGCAACTTAGACCTTGCAAAATCACATGGCTTAATCTTTTACAGTTTTGTAAAATATTTTTCTTTAAGTCAGACTGCTTCAGGTTGTCCTAGGACTTGTACCAAAACATTTGCTCTGGAAACCCCAAATGCCCCTTTAGAAGAGCAGGGAAACACAAAGGGCCTCTATACATGAGCACTAGTGCTGAAACAGACAGATGCATGGTCAGATAGATGCAAAATTCTTTTCTGAAAACTACAAATGCAGTTTTTCCTTAGGCCCTTGCTCTCATTAAAAGGAAACAATTCAATCCTTTTAGAATAATTTTGGTAGAAGTTGAACAGCAAAATGAAAAAGTACATAAACAGTTCAACAGAAGAATGGGACCAATTAAGCTGATTCCATTTGCCTCGGGGAGAAGTTAAATAAAGATCTGCAAACCACAACAATCTCTTCAAGTTTAGCCTCAAATCCCCAGGACCTCATTTCTTTGATTTTCTAGGAAAGCATTCATTTCCCACTACTGCCCTCCACCATTCCATTAATGGTCTGAGCTGTGTACATTAAGGGACATTCACACATCTCCACATTTTCCTTGTCATTAAATARACCCTTTCCAGATGCCTGAGATGATCCACACCAGAGCCCAGATTTTATTATAAGGGAGCTCCAAAAACTGAGCTGCCTCACAGCATCTTTCCCTACTCACATATTTGCATCTCTCCAGCCTGCATTTCTGACACCAATGTATCTGCCAGCATGAAAGTAGATCTGCACGTGGGTGTATGCAYATGCACAGAATAGATGTGCACATGCATCTCATAGGAGGTTTTCAGCCAAAGTCGTTTAATAAATGCAGTCACTCCAAGGCCTAACCCTCAAGCTGCACTGCTGATTTGCAGCCTGATAAGTCCACTTTTTTGTCATCACAAATCAAAACACAAAGGTCACATTAAAAAAAAAAACACCGACACCCATGCCCGGGGCGTTAGGAGCTGCAACTCCTGAATGCATAAGGACATGCTTATCCCTGGACTAGGGGAATGCACCTACTGCAGCATCCAAAGGGCTTTTCAGGCAAGCAAACAAATTGAAAGGACCTGGACTTTTCAGACTTTGAGCAATACTGGAAGAGGCAGTGGGAGAAGCAGACTGCTGATGCACCTGCTGATGCACCCATCCATCATCTGCACATACAGAAGTCAAGCTCTGACACTATGTGTTTGACAAAATACTTCCACAAATGACAAAATGGGCAAAGTCTCTTACCTCTTCTGGCCTGCTCAGGGCATGTCCCTCAGGTCCAGTGATTCCCATCTCCAGAATACGCTTTTGTTCCTGCAACATAAGAGATAAATGTTGACCCAGCTCCAGGATGAGACCCTGGCACYCAGTGTCCTCAGAGAGATGAACAGCAGCCAGATTGTCTGGCTGCCTCTTTTAGTGTCAGTGTAAATGCAGCTGCAAAGCCCACTGAACACTGAAAACACTGGCTCTAAACTGGTCCCATGCCACACCAGCACAACCAGCGCKGGTCTCTGTTCTGTGATAGAGCATATTTGTGCCCTGAGCCATTGGGCTGCACCATTGGAAACCTCCTCTGCCCTCCAGAAAGTCCTACTTGACACTACAACACCAGCCCAGGGGATGGGCTTCAACCAATACACTAAATAGTAATTATGGGTACTTCCAGCATGTCATACCTTATTTACTTGCTCAAATTCCTCTCTGGTTGCAGTCCACAAAGCACTTTCTTAAACTCTCAGCATTGCTGACACTTTTGGTTTTTTGTAACACATTCTTCCAACACAGTAAATCACTAAAATAATGCTTTTATAAAGCAAAGTGACCTACAGTTGTGAGAGCTCTGTGTCCACATCAAAAAGCCCACCTCAAGACCAATGGGAGTTTGTCAGAAAAAAAAAAATCTGCACTATCCAGCTTCATAGCAATGAGGTAATTTTTTTTAAAGTAGACAAAAAGCTTCACTTAATGTAAGGCCAAACATCGGTATTGGAATAGATTTCCCTTTTCGCAGAAGCTGGTGGTCAAACCCTTTTCATCTGGGGCTGGTCCAGGCCTGGCAGCAGAGCAGAAGTAGGAYCAGGGCTGCTGCTGTACCTCTGGCCCTGGCCTGCCCTAACAACAGGGCTTTAATGAGCCCAGCTCAACGATGTAATGGCTCTGTGACACAGACAAATGTCCCCTAGAGACCAGGAGAAAGTTACTGAACATATCTGAATGTGTCARCTAATAAATATCTAATCCCAGGTCCCTGAGGGTGAAAAGCTCACACCAATATACTCCAATAAAACCTGAACAAGTTAACATTCATATATCCTTTAGCCTTTGCTGCAATCAATAAAGGCTGAAGAGGCATTAACAGGAATGAAAAGATCTGACCATGTAAGAACATTTTGGTTAGAAAATTGTAAGGTTTTATAGGTATTCTTAAAAACAGCTGTTCTGGATCATTAATTCAATGGCTCTGAACAGTGCCAGTTAAAGACTTCAGATAATATAAATAAAAATATAAATAAATATAAAACACAGCAAAAAATGAAGTTACAACCATGTAAAAAAAAATCAACTTGGCACAGAATAGATACACAAAATAGGACAGATCTGCATCTTGAAGGAAGTAATAAAATCAGATCATATGATAAATTACCCACYGTAAGAGGACTTGATAGTGCTAATAAACTAAAGTATTTGATTGATAAGATCAAAGTTGTATTTTCACACAGGACAGTCCTGAAAAACTTATGTGCAGGCAGCTTTTTTTTTCATTATCCAAATAATTCTTCTAAATAAAAGCATAAGGAAAGACTGATTTTATGAGGCATGGCAATGTCAAAGAAATATATCGATGTATAACATAATTTACATGTATTTACTACTTCAGCTTTTCCTAATAATTTTTCTGTCCTTTTTGTTCATATTCGATGGCTGTATATTAAGGCTGATCAGAGAAAAATGTAACTGAAATAGATTTCTATCAAAAAGGCAATTTCATGTGTGCACCTTGATTTTAATGGGGAATTTATCAAAACATCACAGGTGCCATTTGATTTGTTTTATTTTGCTGTTTGTACAATAATATTGACTTAATCATGTTTATCATTATTCATTTAAATTCTACTGGTTATTTTTCATGGTGTATTAAAACTATAAATTATGTATTTAGTAGTTCTAATTCATGCTAAACTTCATGAGAAATCAGCTTTTTTTCCTCTCTTGAATTCAAACGAGGCTTGTCACCTAGTTTCAGTGGGGGAAGGATATGACTGCATTGTGTGTGCCTGCTGACTCCTTACCAGTAACTTTTGATCCCAGTGGTTATTTTGGCCAAACTCAAAACTGGAAGGCAGATCTCAAAGGGGGTAAGTTCTAACCAGGTAGATGGAGATGTGTTTTTCCCACAGAGGGAAAAACAAAATACACCCAAGGCAAGAGCTCTTACAAAGTGCCCAACCACTCAAACATTCCCTTGAGTTTCTCTCTTAGCAAAGAGACAAGGTGGGTTACTTGTCCAGATCTCAAGGACAGCTTTAGCTGCTGTAATTTCCTTGTCAGCTCTGCAGCCCAGTCMTTGGTGGATAAGCCACAGATAAGCAGCTCAGCAGATAAATCAGATGGCTCACTTGGAGCCTCACCGACCTAAGAGGGGCTCGATGCACATACGAGGGATCAGAGGAGTGAGACATCTCTGCAACAGCCTTCAAAGKTTCATCTGCCACACATATATTATAACAACACCCGCCCAAACCCACCTCTTCTATTTTACAGGGGAATCCTGGCCCCCGAAAGACCAGTGGGAAGTTTGCTATCAGCTGCTATCCTTGGGTTGCCTCTCTTTATGTTTTCGTATGCTGTGGCACTGATCAGAGCCATGGCACAGTCCAGTGGGAGGAAAGTAGCTGACCTGCAAGGACTGCCCTGGAGATCCAGGACACTTTAATGGAATATACTGACCTTGAGCCCAGCTTCCTGCTTCTGAGATGCATCTTCTGAGAGCATGGATTGTACTTAAATACACATTTTTGAAATGCCTACAAGATCACAGTAGTTCTTATCCTCAAATGTCAGAGGTTTATAAGAATATTCTCAAAAATAAATAGGCCTGTGAGCTTTAATACCCACTCTGAACTCACTGTGCTGCTTATGCTGATAGCTGCAGCAAGAGACTTTAGCATAAAGCTTCCAGATCCACTTTTTGTACCTAAAAYCTGTGAACAAGGCTTTTCATTGTTCTGCTTCACTTGTACCTGCAGGATTCAGAAGAAATCTTCTTCCTTCYTTCTGTCCCCTTTATCTAGTCCCCATCTGTGGCCAAGGCAAGGAGCTGCCTGGATCACTGCCTTGTCTCAAGGATGCTCTGCCAATTAATGCAAAAGGGCCTCAATTCTCTCACCCCAGGCTTTAAACCAGCAGCGTGCAGGGCATCAGGCCATATTAAGGCTCTTTCAAGGGAGCTCCTTTCTCCTTTCTTCATACCCATTCTCTAACTGGCCTATTTTACCTCTCCTCTCTTGTATCTGTCATCTCACAAAGTGAAGCAAAAATGATGGTTCACTCACCTGAGCTATCAAGTCTCCATTTTCAGCATGGACCAGGATAACAGCCCCAAGACTCTTTAGAAAGGTAAAGGCTTCATAAAGCTGCAGGTAGTACAAAGAAGGAAACACTGCTGAGTACGGAAAACACATTACTTAACACTCAGACCTCTCTATTCACTTCAATTTTGTACCTTCTGTGCTGGTAATTATATTGGTGAATAGCAAATGACCTCTTTTTTACACAGAACCTGAGCTTCACTGATTGGTGCTGACTAACCCACCCCTGCAGACAGAAATGGCACCAAGACAGCCCCAAGCAGGGCTGGATTTCCCTGGGACAGAGTCTGCTCTAGCAGGACCACCTCAGCATGCCCTCCCATGCAGGCCAAAGTTTAGTGACCCTCTTTTCTGTAGTTTTAGCAAATGTAAAATAGAATTATTGCCATGTACTACAGACTCCTTCAGCTAGAACTGTTTTCTGAAGTGTAGGCATTTTGCACCATCTTCTTAGAGAAGTCATTGTTGAGCTTTCACCAACTTCTTTAATTCTGTAATTTAATTCTGTTTTTTTCATTGCTTTCTAAGATTCAACACCCATCCATAAAGAAGGGCAATAGTTGAACCTGTTTCCTTTACTGATAATTTCTGAGCACACATCTACTGAAGTCCTTTCCAAAACTTATTGAGCTTATGTGTTCCTCTTTTAAACCAGACTTCAGTAACATGGGAGCTGAGTTTTCAAACACATAAAATATTGAAGACATAGGTTCTTCAGTGTCTACTTTTGCACTAAGGAATTTCATGCAGCATTAAATAGGCTGCAATACACAGCTTGCAACATGGACATTTAAACAAGGGAACAGCCATTAGTCCAGCCACACATTAAACATTTTGACATATTTCTCTTGGCAATTCCAACAAGGAATTGAATTTAACAGGCACTGCCTCTCAGAGAATATTTATATATTATTATGTCTAAAATTCCAATTAAAACCATGTGTACTGGAAATATAACAACAATTATTTAAGAGACCAAGAGCTGTAGCTTTGGGAATAAGTAAGAAAGAAACATTTTCTCAACTGAATAAGCAAACATTATCATTACTAACAGATGTTATTGTCCATTTACAGTGGCCTGGCATGTATGAATGGGAAAGCTGAAGAGTTGGAATCTGTAATGAGCTCTGGACAAACAAGATCATTGTTATCTCCAGCCCTAATGAGAAAAGGCCACGTCCCCCAAAGAGCAACTCCATTTAGCTGCGTGCAGCAACCAAGAAACTCTTGAAACCTCACAACTGCCACYGCCTCAAGTGCTTCATCTTTTTCTCCCTCTCTGACCTAGAGTTCTCAAAAGGTTACTGGAAAATAAAATGAGCAAAATCCTGAGCAGAGCTGAGTGGCTGCAATGTTGGGAAACACCAGAAGATCTCTGCAGGAGGTGAATGTCGTACACTTGAAGAAACACATGCAGGTGTTCTACACAACTAAGCCCTGACCCTCCAGAGAGCAAACCACCACTGCACATTTCCCCCAGTGCCASTCAGGCCAGTGAGAATGTTTCTCTGGGATTCAACCTCAGCAACTCCTCAAGGGAGATGAGAAAAGAGAGGACAGATCACAGCAATGAAAAGCATTCAGAGCAATACCTGGCTGTCGGACATTTGGTAGAGATCTTTGTACGCCATGTAGACTTGAAAAGAGTTCACACCTGTTCCAAGACAAAATTCAAAGGTGTTGCCATGTAAGTGTATTCTTAAATTGTATTTGAACAAAAACTTCAAGAAAAGTAAGTAATGGAGCATGACCAGACTAGGGTTTTCACCAGTAATTGCCAATAACCAAGCATGGCCTCACAGCTGCTTTACAGCTGCTAGCACTAGAAGCTGGATGCCCTTTTCTCCGAGGGAATTTGTTGGATGCTGTGGGTTGTCTGTGGTCATCCCCGGAGTAACCCAGCCACCACTGCAAGCAGAATTGCTTGTAGCCAAATCACAGACAAGTGATGGTGGCTAAAGCAAGCATGTAAAGTTTGTGAAGTTTATAAACCTTGTGTAAGATTCTGTGAATCACTGTTTTTCTTTTACATTTCCTTATCTAATCTGGAAAACATTTCAGCACGATCTAAACAGTGCYTTTTGATAGATAAAACTTCTAGTTAGGTTCTCCCAAATTGCTAAGATGTAGGAACTGTATATCTGAATGTGCATCCAGACTTGCTTTTTCTTGATCTTACACTCCAAAGCACCCAGCTTCACTGRTGGTAGACACTGGGAAGGAGTGGAWACAAAGCCTGAAACCAGTTTTACAGGCAGCTCACCAYATCTTTCCTTCCACCTTCCAAAGATGGAAGGATTTATCCTGGCAGTCATAAAAAACAAGAAAGATGACAGTTTCAAATTTCAGAAATCCGTAAGAGATGCCAGTGTTGAGTGTCAGTTGTCAAGAACCCCCTTTATTCAAATTCCTACAAGGGTTGCTATTTATTTCAAAGATTTGGTTATTTACACAGCTTTGTATTCTCACAGAATGAGAATTACAAACGTCTTCTGTTCATAATCTCTGTACATAGGAATCCATATTAGTTTATATATTTGCCTTATTCTTTAGTCTACTKACAAGATCCCCAGTTTGGTCCAGGGACCAATCTCACAATTTTCTAGCTTAAAAGAAAAGTAAATTCTAAGTTATCTAAGCTGTGCATGCTGCATTTCAAAACGGCTGTGATGCAAACWGTGCTTCCTGAGGCAAGAAGAAAAAGAAAGAGATCTGTTCATATTATTCATGTTGTCTACACAAAATGAATAAGGCTCTCTCATGAAGATAAAACTCCTTCCTGAGTTTAGAATGARCAAACACATCCCCAGGCAGAGGATATGACTGCTCATACACACACATAGAATTCATTTCTTCACAATTACAGGACTAAAATACCCCAGGATACATGCAGGACAAAACATTGAAATGATCCCTGGTATTAAGTCCCTCTGCTACGTCCAGGCAGCTCAGAGAGAAGCACAAAGCAGGAGTTGTCTCCTCCTTGCTGTCTTCCACGCCGAGCAAACCCAGTCTGAAAGGCGGAGCCCTGTCAGCTTGTAAACCCATCCTTTCTTCCCGTTTTCCTATTTATCAAGTTCTCAGGAAACACATATGGCCTTTACTAACTGTAATCCCTGCATCTATTGCTCATTACAGTTTCAAAGTACTTAGTACGTTCTTATTTGAAAAGCTAAGCTTGACTTGGCCTTTGCTGGGGCCAATGCTTGCAGCCCCATGCCCTCAGCCATCTCCCTGTGACTGCTCACAGCAGCACCCAGCACATCCATCCTACCTGCCTTAGAGAAATGAGTGATTTTCTCTCCATGAACCCACCCGTGTCAGATGTCAGCTGTACCCAGGAGCCACCTTTCTGTGGGGTTGGCCATGCACACACAGAGCGATGAGGGTGTGTCAGGCCTGGGCCAAGCCTCAGTCATGGCAGGGGACTGAGCCCTCTCRCACACATTTCGCTGCAGGCCCAGAGCTGGGTTACCCACTACTCTCCCTTATCCACTAGCTTCTAGACAAAAGCAATTCATTTAATCACAGTCCTGCAGGAGATAAGGCAGCTGYCTCTAAATACTCTGGCTGGAGACATATACTGACCCATGTAATAATGTATTTTCATTTCTTCTATTGCCTTTCTGTCTTCTTGGGCMCTCTTCTGACYTTCATAAAATGMCTGAGTTTTGCTCCCACTCTGTTTWATGTTYTSCCTGAAATTAATGGGAGTAGAAGGGATCCCAGTAGGGATGCTGCCATAGGATCCTRAGCCTGCTCCTTAGCACAGTTCAGAAGGACAATTAACAACCCCTGCAAACACACATTCACACCCTCAGCTACCACCAGGTAAACACACAGTGGGAGAGATTCCAGGGGCTGCCTTTACAGCTAACACGAGAGATGATGTGAACAATCCTGGCTTGCAAAGAGAGCACCTATAACAGACACCATGGTAAATAACACAAATTTACATATACAGGTATCCAAGATTAGACTCCTTRCCCTGGCCTGGTTCCTTGACCTACTCATTGGAATTATGCAGCTTTCCAAAAGCCCTGGTCCATGGCCTATTGATCTTAATGCTTAACATCTGTCACACACTACATTCTTGTTAATGTCCTATTTGCTCTCTCACCAGGGGTACTCAACAGAATCCTTTCCATATTTCAGGCATTTACCATGTTTTCTGAACAGYGGCAAAGTGATTCAAAGGAACCAGTGAGGCCCTGTCAGCAATTTCGGGCTCTTGCTCTTTTGCATATACTGAAGAAGCCCAATCCCAAAATAGCTGCTGAAATGCTACAAGCTTGAGTGTTATAATCAATATTTGGCTCTACAAGATCTCCAGTCCCTTCCAAAGCATGTGTCTTCTTAAATTATCTTTGTATTGATTTAAAACTGATTAATTGTTCAATTATACCTCATGACAAGGCACCTCAACAGCCACTCTGAGCTCCCCCGTTACTCATGCTGATTGCATTAGGCACATGTAGCACAAGGAGCAGAGCTCTGTCACTCAGCTAACTCACCCACAATCAGCCCAGATATTCAATCCAGATTACCAGCTGATGAAAACCAGGGTCACTCCACTGACATCAAGTCTATTTGCACCAGCTGGCTCAAATGTTTCCAATTATCAGGAAATATTACCCGTTAATTTGAAAGCCCTTGCCACACTGAATTATTTCCTATTGTGCTTTCATACTTGCCTTTACCTCGTGTCTCCTAACACATGAGAGTAATTCACACTGCCTGAGACATACATGAGAACAAGGGTGACCTCCTAATGCTCTGGCCAGTGAAGAGGCCACCAAGGGCCCATCATACATCCCAGTTCAGGAACAGATTCCTCAGAGGCAGGTCAGATTTATACAGAAACCTCACATTTCAATAGTTGGAGAAAACTATTAACCTAACCATCTGCATCAGGCTTTTAGTGTTAACCCTCAGGCAAATTTGGGAGTGCTAAGCCATCTGTGATCCAGGAGCTCTGGGAAATAATGTCCAACCTTTGAAACAAGGCACAGCATACCTGTCTGAGAGTACAGACAGCTAATGCATGGCAGCAGATTCATGTTAATGCTGAAAGCAGGGAAACAGCACAGATTTGGCACWACCTGTGTTGACAGATGTCATCACCTTGTAAAAATCACCTACACTAGAGACCTATGTAAGAGCAGCTGCAGTTTCCCTAAATTATATGCAGTCTTGCTGACTTGTTTTGTTGCCTAAAGTCTGGATATACAGCACATGTACTGTTAGCATCTTGTGACATGGAATAAATTTCCCCAGGTGACTGCACCTCCATGGCACCTCAGCAAACAACTGCTCACTCAAAAATAGCATTTGGCTTTTTTTTTTTTTTTTTTTTTTTTTTTTTTTTTTTTCATAAAGAGAACCTTTCACATCTAAGTCATCATTAGCACTACATGTTACAAAGGATGCTGCAAATACATATCTGTTGTGAAATGCTGCAAATACATATCTGTTGTGAAACTTAGGTTTCACAACAGAAGAGTCATTCTGATTTGCTCATGGAAACTGCATACCCTTTCAGAAAATCTTCCCTAATTAATAACCATTAATTTTCAAATAAAGTATGAAGTGAAAAATACATGAAAATGTATGATTCTGGAAAAAAAAATACATGCTGCTAGGCACAATTTTAAGGAACAAGATCTAAGCAAGGATGTTCTGAAGGCTAGGTCCCATGGCTCAMACACAGGTATCTGGTGTCAACAAGATCCCCTCCATATATGAGATTGCCACATTGAGCCTGGGTGTGTGGAAATGCATTTAGGAGAGGTTTCATTCTSAAGCAGTAGCTGGAGTACAGGTAGGGTAACCTATAGCATCTCACATGATGTAGGCCTTTTAACCAAACAGCGATCCAAGTTTAGGGCCTTAGGTTGCTAAAAAAGTGACCTTTTTCTTGCAAGTGTTTTCTTGCAAGATTTCAGTCTAGCTAAAATCTGAACCGTTGTGTTTCATTTTCTTCATTGAGTAAATAGAGGATCTAAGGTGACTTGGCTGATTAACCTAAACGCTGATCTCCAAGTTTTACCTTCAAATAAAACCTACCTATGCAATGTCTGAGCCTATTTCCACAAATACAAGCAAGGATAAAGTGATACATTTGTACATGACAATCTATGCATCTTAATTTTTCATGCCTGTATTGGACAGAGTCATATATACACACAAAGTTTTAGGTCCATTTTACACTGCAACAAGTGAAAATACAAATTCAAGGTAGTATGGAACCTTTGGCAGCATAACCGATGCCTGTGTATTTATTAAAATACTTCAAAATTCCACCTCCATATGATATAATAGAATAGAATAGAATAGAATAGAATAGAATAGAATAGAATAGAATAGAATAGAATAGAATAGAATGATATTAAATATTAATATAATGAAATATAAATATAATAAAAATACTACTACATTTCACTCACTAACCTTTGTCTTGCACCAGCACTTCCAGCTCTTCTCGAATCCCATCATACCAGCTGGTGATGTCCACATGGAGAGAGTAATCACAACAGGATTTGGTATCAGCTGCCTCATGCCACTTCTCAAAGGAGGTCAGTAAACTTGATCCAGGTTCTGGAAGCACATGGTCAACTGAAAAAGAGATTGAGTGTCTTTTAGCTGCACAGCATGCAATCTATTCAGATTTCCCCAGAGCAGTCTTYCAGCATCTCAGCCAAAACAGCAGCTTTGGAGGCACTTTGTGTGCTGACTGTAACTATGGGGTGTCAGACAGGTCCTGCTGTCTCAGGTGTAGCAGACTTTGTGAAGCATCTGTACTAAAGATGAGTCTGCCAACCTGCTTGGTGTAGCATCAATAGACAAACAAAGGGAGAGCCGAACACCTCACAGTTTAGGAAATATTTGTCCTTCCCCTTCCTGAAGTGTAAGAGAGCACAGGTCCTGGACTTAGCTGAATTTCTTGTCTGATGTGTCCATTTCTATGTATTTCACAGCAAACACAATAATTAACCAGTGTCTCATAGTCACTGAACTGGCCCACTCTGCTCTACCAATACATCAGTGCAGATGTTCARTGTTTTCTCAGCAGCCAAAACTGGGAATATGGCCAAAGGTTTGAATGGGGGTGATGCTGAGCACAAACACTCAGTCACACTATAATTTAGATTGAATGCTCTCCTCTCCACTGTCTCAAGACTTTCTGCCTCTAATGGTGCCACACCATCTACTGACAAAGACATGATTACTTATGCATATGTACTTGTTTCTGCAGGGCTAGGTCAAAAGTTAGTATGAAAACAAAGCAAGATTGGCTCACCAGTGATATTTGCAAGCTCAACACCACACAAGAATACTAAACTGAAGAACACAGACTGAAAACAAAAAAAATTAACAAAAGGAATGAACAGCAGTGAATTTTGTGCCTGTGGCCAGAGAGTCCTCCAGTTAATACCTGCAGCTGATCATATCACCAAAAAAAAAACCAAACAAAACCCACATCCCAATTCAGTGGGAGTAAAATTCCATTGGGAAGCTTCTCTCCACAAAGAAGCTAAGACTATTTACGGCACCTGAACCACTGCCTCACATCTAACAAAAGTCAAGTAACTGCCGAAGGAAAGAGGTAAATCTTGTCACACCATCTGTAGACAGAAGAAGGGTTTTTAACAAGTAAGAAGGGTCTTTAACAAGTAGAAACACTTCTTCCTTTCACCAACAAAGGTGTTCCTCCAGGACATCTCTGGTAAGGACTTCCTCAGTTCCTGCTGCCAAATCCAAGTTCATAAATAAGCACCTTGTTTCCAAAGCCCTTGAAATGGCACTAAGAGGGAACAGCAGATCTTTGTCAGATTTTCTGTGCCATATACTTACAATGCTACCTACACTGTTTTCCAAAACTCCCAAGAGTACATATATTATCTCTCAGTGCTTGTTCTGTATTTCAGAGGAAAATCCAAGAGACAATTCTTGTAGGTAGGTTCGTTTTCAGGCCAATCCTGGGTAACAATGATGAATGGATTTTGAACACAGTGCCCAGACATTTGAAGATTCATTGCAGAAGATCTCAGAAAATCATGATGAAACCTCTGGTAGCTATCCCTACACATGCTGCACAGGCTTCAGCCTGGCATGGCTAGAGATAGCACTGCTAGTACTCACTGATCATGGTGGTGCCCCCTGCTAGCGCTGCCTTTGTGCCTTGATAGAAGTCATCAACAGCAGTCATCCCTTGGTAGGGCTTTTGTAGGTAAGTGTTGACATCTATTCCCCCAGGAATGACCATGCGCCCATTAGCCTCTATGGTCTTGACTCCTCCAGGGACAATCAGATTCTCTCCTATTTGCCTGGACAGCAAGGAAAGACAGTATTACTTTATTTGAACAAGCACAGAGGACAAAGCTATTTGACGTGTGTAGGGGAGAGGGACCCAGGGCCATACAGAAGGAGGGGGTCCTTGAAGGAAAGCTGAAGCTCAAGCACCCGTTCCCTCCATCCTGCCCAGCTCTGCAGAACAAAGCKATGAGAGCTGCCTCGCTGAGCTGTGAGCTCCACTTGCTTTGCATGGCTCTGGTGGCCAATAAAGGAGCTCTAATGTGCCAGCATTAAAAATTGATTATTTTTWAATATGATTCCTATCTTTAAACAATTCAAATTATGTAGACAATGCTCTCTTGGGGGCTCCAGTTTTGTATAYAAAGTTCTTAAATGAAAATAGGGAAACATAGATCAAATATGGCAACRAGCTGGAATTGTAAATATATGGAAAAGGCATATCAGAAAATATTATAATTATTTTGTCATCAAACAATGCAAATTTATCCTTAAAAAGAAATCTAAGTAACCTAAGATACAGAAATACATATCTAAGAGACCTAAACACATTTAATCTAACATATCCCATATTCTTCATCCTCCTCTTGAAGTTAAAAGTTAGGGAAACATTCTGTGTAACTGTGTGGAAAACTTATAATAAGCTGTTGCCATCTTTTTCCCTTTGGATCTTCAAAGCAGGATTTTTTTTTCACTATTAAAAATATTAATCTGTCACCCAGGCCGATATAAAACTCCACACACCTATGATCAAAATACTTTTAGTGTTCATGGACACAACTACAAATAAATTAACCTTTAACTTTKAAAGCCACACTACATTTTTATTGTCTACTTTGCATGGTGCCACACAGGAAAAGTATGGGTCTGTGTGGGAACCAGGTCTCTGCACTTACAACACAATATATTTGGGCTTAGAGGTAACTGTAAGGTAGTTAAAGTTTACTTAGTTTATCTCATATTACAGACACAGAGTCCTTGTCTTAATTTTCTTTTGTCTGGATAAAATAACATTCATCCACTGTTAACTAAATACCTCAGACATCTGAGCTGCTGAATCTGTTTCCCCATATTAAAATGCAACTCCCAGCTACAGTTCAACAGCTTCTGATTAACAGCCAACTGTGATACGGTAGAACCAGAAGTGAATGTAAGTATTCATTAAAACCAGTGGGAAAAAAAAATTAAAAAAAAACCCAGGGATAATTATTCATGCTGGAATTTGGCCAAACTGGCAGAGTTAATAAATAGCCCCAAAAGGTCAAGAATTTGTTTTATATGCTATGCAAAAATGCCACCTCCAGCAGCTTGTCTCCCCTGGTGCTCTGGCTGGAGGGAAGCACAGCCATTCCATCGGCAAACTCTCCACCAGCATCCTTGGATGGGGTCCCAGCTGCCCAGCACAGAACCCATCTGTGGAGGGCTTACTCAGGAGAGGGGGCACCTCTATGTCTGACACCCAATAGTCATCAATATGTGCACATATCAGGTATTATTAAACACCCTGACAAATGGGGAACTGACCTGGATGCAAAAGCCAGCAGCTGCCCAGCACATCCAATTGCACAAACAAAARTTACCAGAAGCTCCTCTGTGTTAAAATGTTCTCATAAAGGCATATCATAAGGCACTGCACCCATGAGAAGATTCAATGCCTGCATAAAGTCAGGTAGCTTCATGTGCAGTAATAGTGTTGCACYAATTTTTGTTAGTCAAATCCACTCCCAAGATTTTAATCAAAACAACCCTCCACCTTTGTAGAGAATTTATGTGGCTAAGAAATTGAACTGGGAAAAAAAATTTTTTTGAGTATGTCCAAGGAATAACTGCATTCCAAGGACTAACACACCTTCTGAGAATAATATGAAGAAAACCTACACAAATCTACACATCTTTTATTTTCTTCCACAATCAGTATCTACCAGTTTCTTCAAGAAGACACATGTTCTAACAAAGTGAAAGCATTCTAACTATAYACTGAAATTTTTTGATGACTCAGTGCTCATTATTTTCAGTCTATAGTTGAGTAACATCTTATTCAGCTGAAATSATCCACGTTGAAGTGACATGGGATCAAACGGCCTTTGTGGATGATGCTACACTACTACCTGTCAGAAATCTGTCTCATCTCTTGCCCTGGCATCAAGATTAGGGTTGAGAGAAGTCTGATCTTTACTGGTGCTCAAGGTAATTTTTATTCTGACTCTGTAGAATAGAGAGTAGGAGATAATGTGACAGGATTCCTGAATTGCTCACTCATCAATGCAAAGTGTATGTAAGAATGGGCTTCAGTTACTTGTGGGTGAAAAAATACAACAGGGTAAATAACTGCATTCTAGACACTGTACAAAGGACTGAGCTGCTTTCCTCATATGTCAGCAACCAGAAAACTCAGACCCACAGAAAGCTGATGTGCTTACAATTTTCAGTTGATCAAGTTGGTAAATTCTGTTGTACATGAGCTGATTAAAGCACAATAGAAACAGCAGGCTTCAACTCATCCTAAGCTTCACCCAAGGCAGCTGAAAACCTCCACCAGAACTCTATGGTGGTGCTTCAGTGGTCATCAAACCCAGACCTTTTAGGCATCTGAGGTTCCCCCTAAGTTTACTCATCATTTGCCCAGCCTGTAGACCACATCCCCAGTCACCCACCCTGCCACCTGTTCCTTACTCCAGCCTGGAGGGACCCAACCCTTTCCCTTGGCAGGGATGGAGCAGAGTACAGCAGGCACCAGACCATGACCTGCCCACTTGGCACTGGGCTCACTGCCTCATGCAGTAACAGAGGCAGGAGAGATGCAGGCAAAATATATTACTTATATGCCAATGGCAACTTCAATCACCAAAGATTTAAACTRTTATCTAGATACTGAAGAACTGCCTCTCAGCTGCCATCTGAGTGTGCAGGGGTAAGTTTCAGGTAGGAAAAATCCATATGCAGCATTGCTCCCTTGTATCTAGGGAGTCAGTTTGAGCATTGATTGGCAGAAAGAAGCATCTACCATCCTCCAAACCATAGCTGATCTTCAAACACACTCAAGGTTACATCTGCTTTCCTCTCTGCAGAATGATCTGTGTTAAATCATTTTCATTATGCTGCAAGAAAAACCCAACCGTCTCTTTTCCAATCAGTTGTCATTTCAGAGTGAGGAAAATAACTCAGATCTTTTATATCCCAGCAAAACCAGGACATTATTGCCTATTCTGGGTTGAGTGGTTTGGTTTCTGCTCCATTCTGTGGCAAAAATACTGTATTACCAGCAGGATCTGCAGCAGGAAAGTTGGAGCAGAAACTGAAATGTGGATGACTGAATTTCAAGCTCCAGGTCTAAAGGATCCTGTGCCACAGTTCACAATGATGTTAAAAATACTCAGACACAATGGGCACAACCCCATCTCACAGCAGGCTGCCCTCACCAATTATTTCAGAGCAAAACTTCTTGCACAGTTTACAAAGAAAAATCTTGGGTCATCTAAATCTAGGGGGGCAGGCACAACTTGAGGTGCTAAATAGTGCAYTTGTCTCCTTGGACAAAGATAAATGCCTCTTAAAAATTAAGGTCTTGCCTGTCTGTTCATKATTAATCCTAATTAGCTTGGGCAGCTGAGATACTTCCTGGAGGTATGGATCTACACAYGGATTTCAGAGGGAGTCTATGTACTTAACAAGGGCAGGTGAAAGCTTGGCATTGCTAACCTGCCTACCAATAACTATTGCACCTCTGGAATCAAAGCCATAAAATTCACAGCAGTTTCAGGCTTTTATCATCTCATGCCTTCAGTTGTTTAAATAGTTCTGATGCTTACAAGTGTTACTAGGAAATTTGCACCCGAACTAACAAAAACACAGAAAAACTCAACGAAAATACCCACCAAAGAGAGCACAACTTGGTTAACTGTCGCTTAAAAAAAAAGATACATGTTCAAAATTTTGTATCCTCTCCAGTTAAAACAGTATGCTCCTTTTGCCACTTCTGCAATACAAGCAACAATACAACTGCGAGGACAGAATGAAGTATCAAAAAGAAAACTGCATAGTACATGGATAAAAGTGCTGAATTTTTTTCTATTATAATAGCTGAAATCATAATAAGTAGCTAGATATATAAAGAACTGGACTTTTAATCTGATTATATATTCTTAAGGAGCTCTGAAAACAAGTAGGCAATTAATTATTTATCAGATAACCATAATTATATCTCTGTGCATCAAATTGTAGCCTCTGSAGGCCAAGCTTCTTAGGTCACTAGTGAAAATGTTTAGCAATCAAGAAAAACGCTTTGATCCTTGTTTACATCAGAGTGCTCAGACACACTACATAACTTTGCAAAGCTCAGAGACCCTTGTCTCCACTAAGGCAGAACAAGCAGAGCACACAGACATCTATGTTAYAGTTTCCCAGGCTACCAGTAACACRTATTTCAAGTTTTTCACCAAACAAATACTTTCCCAGTTCCTGTATTTTATGGCCTGATAAATCAGTCTTTCTCTCTAATTGCATGACAATTTAAGATCATTTACCTTTTGTATTCAAGAAAAGGGACACATGAACAATGACCAACAACATCGTAGGAACAGGACGTGCTGTGCTTCAGCATTCACCAACAGGCAACTGAGAAGTAACAGGTCCTCATTTGCACTATGCAACAKGGGACATATTTCAGATTTCTGTGCCCTACAATCCTTAAGAGCATGGCTGCAATTGCACTGACTAGTATGGGGGGAAAAAGCTGTAGAGAGCCTTCTGCCATTCATGGACTCATAGGATTAACTGTCCTTACCATTACTTCTCTTCTGGAAAGAGCCTACTTGCTTTAACTATTTTGGAAGAAACTGATTGAGCTGTTTGAAAAGCAAATGCCTTTAATTTAAAGTGAAGAATTTTTCTACTTATCTAATATTAGGGGGAAAAAAAAGCAGAATTTAATTATTAAACATTCCTTTACTGTGGCCTCACATTTAGAGATAACTGAGATTCTGTCCACAAAAGATTTCAGGTCAACACTATCAAGAAGTCACAGTAGTCTACGCTAACAGGCATGCAAAAAAAAGCAATTATTTTACAAAACCAACTTTATAAGTCCATCTTCAAGGTACAGGTCTGCATAGAAGGAGCGGTCATCATTGATAATTCTTCCACCTTTAATGAGCAGTCGGTCACTCTGGAGGGAAAAAAAGGAACAAATGTGGGTTTGTTGAAACAAACACAGTAACACATTGATGTTGCCAAAGATGCTCATATTATAAAGAAAGCCATTAATATCAAATACTACCCTATATAAAGGTGGGTTCATGTGGGTACACAGACAGTG